CGGGACGGTGACAGCCCCATCGCTCAGGATGACCACCCCACCCCCCGCCCATTTTAGGATGCGCCTATGTACCAGTGCCACGGAGAGTGAGGTGCTCCGGGGCAAAAACCTTCTCAGAAACGCCCTGGTGTCTCATCTGGATGGTGAGTCCTGCAGCTCTGGGGGCGAGCATGGAGCACATCCTGGCAGGGACGGCCCCAGGATAGCCATGTTTCCAGCCAGGATGGGAGAGGAGAACTTTGAAGGCCATGCCATATCCCCACTGCCACCCCCAGGGGCTTGGTGGGTCAGATCTAGGTGGCAGCGGGCCAGGTCGGCAACGGCCCAGTGCTAGGGGAGCAGATGGTGGAGGTGAGGGCGGGGATCCGGGGTCAGACCGCAGCCCCGGTGGCAGCCTGGAGCTGGAGGCTCATGAGCACCTGTGCTCCAGGACTGGACTGGGGGGACCTGTAAGCCTTCCCTGACCCTTGCAGGCACCACTCCTGTGTGCGAGGACATCGGACGCAGCCTCCTGACCTATGGCCGGCGCATCCCTCTGGCTGAGTGGGAAAGCCGGATTGCGGTAACGGGGGCCCCTGGGAGAGGTTCAGGCCTGACAGTGCATGGTACAGACTGCTTCCGCGGGCATCCCTGGTGTCCTCGGCAGGGTTGGCATAATTGGAGGGCCGGGCAGAGGCACTGAAAGCCGAGGGCATGGGTGGGGCCTGGGCAGGTCTGCGGCAGGGAGGGCCCCCCTGCCTTTCCCCTTTGGCTGAGGGGGCAGCTCCTCAGTCCATGTGGAAGATCTTGATTGGCGGGGTGACGTTGACTGGCTGAGGTGGTCCCGGGAACCTGCCTGTCAGTGTGCTCTCTGCTTTCCCTGCAGGACGTGGATGCCAGTGTGGTGCGTGAGGTCTGCTCCAAGTACTTCTATGACCAGTGTCCAGCAGTGGCTGGATTGGGTGAGTGGCCTAGAGAGCCTGTTCTTTGTCCTTCTCAGGCCTCCTCTTGGCCTCCCCTGCTGCCTGTGCTCCCCCTCCCCCCAGCCTACACTGGCAGCCGCAAACTGAGGCCCCCGAGAGGCTCTGCCCAATAGCCTGGCTGCCAGGGAGTTCTTGCTCAGAAAACCTGTCCCAGCAGCTCCCTGACTCCCTGCCAGGGTGCCTCCATCAGTACCCCACACCCGCCAGGTAACGGACACCTCCGTGTGTGGGGTGGGGCTCCAAGAGCCAGAGCATGAAGTGACAGGCTCGGCACCCCTGGGGGAATGTTCTCTTCCCTTTTTCCACTCAAAGCCTGTCTTGTGCTGCTCTGGGCAGCTCTGAGTCGGGTGCGGCGCAGGGCCAGACGTCCCTCTACAGGCCCAGTACCCCACCCTGACGCCCCACCCTATCCCTACAGGCCCCATTGAACAGCTCCCAGACTACAACCGGATCCGTAGCGGCATGTTCTGGCTGCGTTTCTAGGCAGGAAGGCTGTACAGGCAAGAGGGCCGGGCCAAGGTTCATGGTCCCTCCCCACCACAAACATACCACCTCGGCTCTTCAGACCTGTACGCAGATGACCTTACTTCCAATAAAGCCCTGTGTCGAGAACTATGTTGTCCTTCACTTGGCATTGCCATGGAGTCCCCTGGGCAGTGGATGGGGGAGCAGGGACTTCCCTCCAGTTCTGTTTGCCCCGGATCCTTCCGCCTTCCCACAGGCTGATGTATCCTCAGCCAGGGGCAAGCGTGGGGGCTGTAGTATGGAGGCCGGAAGCCTTTGATGCTTGCAGGGAGCTGAAGCCAGATGTTTCCACTTAGCCACGTGGGGGATGCTCCTAGCTAGTCTGTCCCAAGAGTAGGGTGTGGGAACCCATGCTTTTGCCCTGGTAGAGGTCTGGTGGCTCAGGAGGGAAACCCTTTGCTGTGGGCCCCATGCAGTATGCCTTCTGGCAGTTCCTGGCCCCCTGGACAGACCAGAAGGGCCAAGGACTGTCCCTGAGGAAGCCTCCTTCGTATGTTTACTTTGGATTCTGGAAGGAGGATCGCCTCAGGCATAGTGTTCCCATTTGATTTCTAACTTTTGCCTGGACAGGCAGGGCAGGAATCCTTTGCCTCGATTTGCCGCTGACTCAGGCTCCGAGAATAGCCCTGAGCTCAGTGGGGCCTGAGCCCCCTCCCTTGACTAGATCTGTCCCAGGCAAGTCCTGAGCTGCTGGCCTGATGATCCCCTTCCCATCTACCTGTGGCAGCCAGGACCTGGTGGAGCTCACCGCTGCCTAGTCCCCCTTCAGGTCCTGGCCCCATGAGGCAGGTGGGCAGGTAGAATCCTCTTCTGTCTCCAGCCCTTCTGCAATCAGGTTCCCTAGGAGCCCAGGATGGAAGTGAGGGGCCTGATTCTCCTAGGAGGAGTGCTGCTGGCAGTCGGGAGCAGAGTCCCAGGACAAAGGTGGTTGAGGAGCGGGCTCTTGAGAAGTCACCCAGCATCCTAACCTTACAGTGGCCCCAGACAACCCTTGAATCACTCCTGCCCTGCCCCAGTGCCTTTCCCTCATCTCTGCTGCCACCAGTTGTCAATTAGGAAATAACTGTCAAGTGCCTTCTAGAACCCAGAGCTGGAGGTCCCAGGTCATCCTCCTACTTTGAGAGAACCTGCCAGACAGTGCAGAACCCTGACAGGCCCACCCTGGTGCTTATAGATGTAGCACACTGGGCCCAGGGAGTACCAAATCTTTGCCCTAAGTTTGAGCTCTTGGAAGATGGGGTTGATTTCTAAGCCCAGACATGGTCCTCGAAGGCTCTGGGTGTGCTGGGCACTCCTGGAAGTGATCTGGTCCCAACAGACCTTGCATACCAAGCCAGGGAATTTGATCTGTACTCTGGAGGCATTTTGAGGGAGGTGCCTCAGAGGTTACTGGGAAGAGAAGTGACTTGGTCAGCCTGAGGAATAGCACGGGGACTCTGAGTCTGGATCTCTGTGGCACCCCAGGGAGCTGTGCTATGGCAGCGCAGAGTTGGAGCGGGCTGCAGGGGACACCAGCAGGACAACAGCCCCAACAGGGCTGGGGTACCCCAAGGAGGGGTAGGTTGCCAGAGGACGACCTGCCTAGCTTTGGCCACAGTTTTGGTGAGAAATTTGGAGGTGTCCAGGACAGTGGGATGTGTGGGGCTGGAATCCTGGAAAGCCCCACTTAGAGATGTGGTGCCACCTGGCAGAGGTAGTGACCGAAGCCGGAGGAGATGTCAGGGGGAGCGTGAGAGGAAGGACAGAGCTCTGGGACCCCAGTCTTCAGGTGGAAGGTGCTGGGCTCTGGAGCTGTGCCCTAGCCTGTGTACCTGGAGCCAGGAGCCTCAGAGGGTCACACACCTGCTCGTGGCCTCAGAGGGGCTCCAGTCACACTCTTGGCCACCTGTGCTTGAACCGCCCCGACAGCCTCTCCCAGCACCCTCTGAGGGACCCCCACACAGCAGGCAGCCCTTCCTTCCAGGGCCACGTCATGCTCCTGCTACCCTCTCAGCAGGGTGTCCAGTCGCCCCTACAGGCTGGACCTACCATATGTGGCAGCTCTGCCCTCTGCCCTACAAGAGGAGGTGGGGGGCTTGGCGGCCAGGGGCTGCCCCTGTAAGGAGATTGTGTCTGGTTCTCTGCTGTTCTCACCTATCAGACAGCTTTAAGGGCTGGGGGTCTTGGGATGTGGGTGAGGAGACCCTGACCTTGGAAAAAGTTCTGGGCCCCGTGGGTCACAGCACTGTATCCTGTGATAGTTAGGGGGAGAGATCAGTGATAAAAGGGGCCATTCTGTGGCTTCAGCCATCTGGGCAAGAGGAAAACAGGCAGCATGGAGGGTCTTCATTGCCTCCAGCTCTGGACATACCAGAGACCCGCCCCCCCTGGCCCGGAAGGAGCCCAGGGGAGATGAAGTGCAGGCCCCATCTCTTCACCACTCAGCCTGTTGACCCAGGAGAGGCTTGGGGCCAGGCATGTTGGAAGAGACTCGGTGGTAGTGGTAAGTGTAGACATACTTTCTGGGCTTCTCAGAATTATCTAGGACTAGCAGGAAAACAAACAAAACACAGGGCCTGCTGTTCTTGGGAACATCTCTGCCTTGGTGTCACTCCCCTATGATGAAGACACGCACATACAAAGGCTCATCTCAGGACAGCGTACGTGACCTGGAGATGCGTTAAAGGGGACTGTCTACAGTCACAAAAACCAGTTGTGGGAAATGGGTGGGAAGTCAGAGGCTGCTTAAGGGGAGAGCAGAGAGACGGGTAGTTACGAAGGTGGCAGCCACAGGTGGACCCTGACAGCAGTGAGGAAAGGAGGGAGAGTCCATGGTGACCTCTGGGCCTGGGGGGTTTGGGGGGTGGGATGATGGGTGGAAGGGGGTCTTCAAGAAGAATAGAGTGAGGGAGGAGACTCGGGCAGGCCAGAATGAGGACGAGTAGTTAAGGGGACTTGGAGCAGGAGAGGGCCACCAGTGGGGGTGTAGGCAGGAAGGGGTTGATTCCTGAGAGATGAGCTGTCACTGTGGGTGGTCCCACCCTGCACATATGGACAACCCCTCTCCGTGTAGGCACAGCTGGATGGCATCTGCCTGTGACTGGTCCAGGGCATGGCAGGGGGTGTGGGGTACTGGGATGGACGTGTATGCGTATACATGACACAGATTCTCTCCTCCTGGGCTTCCCCTTCCCAAGGTCGGGGGGGTGGTGGTGGTGGGCATTTTTCAGATGCAGTCCAGTGGTGCCTTGGTTCCCTTGGGATGAGCCCAGAGCCCCTCATTTGCTGGGGGCTGCTCCAGCTGTCAAGGGGATTGGGGTGGGGCACAAGAGATCCAACAGACAGGGATAGCTGAATCACAGGAGTGGCCGGCGGGATTCATGGCCTGAAGGCTTGTCTGGGCACCCCCATAGGGTGGGGGGTGAGTCATCTCCAGCTGCAGCACCCCCCACCACCATCCCGCTGTCTCCTCCATCTGCAGGAACCTATCTGAATTCCAGCCTCCAGCAGTCAGGACACTAGTCACTCTGACCTTAAAGCAGCCACAACTTCTGACCCTGGACAGGGTTCGAGGGGTCTGCCTCAGCATCAGTCAAGAACCTTCTGGGGGGAGTCCCGGAAGCCACAGGAGGTGGGGGGCTTTACGCTTTAGTGGAGTCAAATCATCTGTCCCGGCAGGGGTGGTGGGGGTGGCGGCCTTTGGGACGCTGGGTGGGGGGCGGGCCGCCTGGGACCCCGCCCGCAGCTCCGCCCCCGGGATCAGGGACTTTTCTCGGCTGTGGCGGCGGGACTGCGGCAACGGCTGGCGGCGGGAGCCGGTGGACGGGCAGGCAAGACCGGGACTGGGGGTGGGGGTGCGCTGGGCTTGGACTGCCACAGCTACGGGGGCCGAGGGACAGAGACGGGGGGCCTGGCTGACCGTCTCCCCCACCCAGGATGAGGCTGCCGCTCCTGGTGGCCGCGCTCTGCGCCGGGATCCTGGCAGGGGCGCTCCGCGTGCGGGCCCAGCACAGGGAGAGAGGTGGGCACCACCGGGAAGGACTTCATCCAGGGCGCTGCACCCTGTCACCTGCGGCCTTCATCTGGGACCACCCCCCCAACCCCACGACCCCGCCCGCATCCTTGCTAACTCTCCCCGGACTCCCCAAACCCTCTGCCACCCCTGCTGGGTCTCCCAAACTAAATCCTATCCCATTGGGTCCCAAACCCTGGCTCCCCACATGCGCGCTGCGTCACCTACTCTTTGTCATTCCACTGTGGCCCCCTGAGGCCAACCTCAGTCCCAGATCCACACCCGCGTAGGTGGCTCTCCCTTGCCTGCACACACCAATCCTCCGCGGAGAGTCTGCCCCGGGTCCCTCTCTCCCTCCCTCCGAGGTTCCCAGGCCCAAGCCGGCCTGGGCCGGTTTGCTTAGCCACCGAGGCCTACTCCATCCTCCCCAGCCCCTAGTGCCAAGGGACCACAGTGCACGGAGGGGTGGGTGGGCTCCAAGAAGAGAGCCTGATGGCTCCTCCCTGCCCCAGTGACCTGCACACGCCTTTACGCTGCTGACATCGTGTTCCTACTTGACGGCTCCTCGTCCATCGGCCGTGGCAACTTCCGCGAAGTTCGAGGTTTCCTGGAGGGACTGGTGCTTCCCTTCTCCGGGGCAGCCAGTGCACAGGGCGTGCGCTTCGCTGCCGTGCAGTACAGTGACGACCCCCGGTGAGTGGGGGCCCCCGGAGCTGGGGATCCATAGCTCTCACCAGGATTCTTCCCCCACGGAAGCAGGGAGTCCAGAAACCCTTAGGCCAGGCTTTGGGGAACCCAGACCCCTCTCCCCTGAGCCAGGACCTCCTCTGGAGACAGAGGGAGGGGTCTCCCGGGTAGAGTCCTCGCACCTGAGACACCTCCAGGCTGGTGTCCTGTCAAAGACACCAGTGTGTTTTCTGATCTGGAGATGGAGAGCCCAGGGGCCTCAGATGCCCCCTGCCTACCGGACTTTCCATGTTTCAGCTTCCTGATGCCTTCGGCCTCTCCCCTCCCACAGGGCCTCCCTGCCTCCCTGCCTGGCCAACGGCCACCTCCCTACAACCAGACCCTTCCTCCCAGAATTACTTAATTAACCAGACATCCTGCTCCCAGAGGCAGGGAGCCCCAAGGGCTGCAGCCACAGGCAGGGTGCAGAGGGGTACCAGAGGAATTTGTTAACGGCTTCAGACGTTGGAGGACAGGGGGAGTCACAGAACAAAGAGGACCCTCAAGGGGACCTGATATTCACAAATCTCACCCCAGAGGCCTCCTAGAAGCCAGGGCCAGAAGAGGTCCTGGCCCCTAGCCTGTTGCCACCTTCCCTCCCCTGCACAGGACAGAGTTTGGCCTCGATGCCCTTGGCTCAGGGGGTGATGTGATCCGAGCCATCCGTGAGCTCAGCTACAAGGGGGGCAACACGCGCACAGGGGCTGCAATTCTCCACGTGGCTGACCACGTCTTCCTGCCCCAGCTGGCCCGACCCGGTGTCCCCAAGGTGATCTCTCACCCTACCATGCCCCCCAAGTTAGCTGTCTGAGGCACACTGATTTACCCCCTGCGCCTGCCCCAGGTCTGCATCCTCATCACAGATGGGAAGTCCCAGGACCTGGTAGACACAGCTGCCCAGCGGCTGAAGGGGCAGGGGGTCAAGCTGTTTGCTGTGGGTGAGTTCCAAGCTGCAGTGACACGTGGGCTGCGGCGGGGGCCAGTCAGAGGGCACGTGAGCCCCTGAACTCTGACTGGGCATCACCTCAGGGATCAAGAATGCCGACCCCGAGGAGCTGAAGCGAGTTGCCTCACAGCCTAGCAGTGATTTCTTCTTCTTCGTCAACGACTTCAGTATCTTGAGGACGCTGCTGCCCCTTGTTTCCCGGAGAGTGTGCACAACTGCGGGTGGCGTGCCCGTGGCCCTGCCCAGTGAGTGCCTGCCCACACTTGTGCCCTGACCTGGACCTCTGCCCCCGCCCCCCACCTGGGAGTGCTGATGCCATCCCACATGCTCCCGACACCAAGCTGGGGGTACCATCCTCTGATCCTGCCCTCGAGGTGCTGACCCTACCCCATGGGCTCCTGACCCTCGACCCCAGTGCTACGCTGTAAGTCTGACCCCTGATCCTCCTGCCTGATTGCCTGACTCCCTGCCCTTCCCAGCTGATGACTTGACCTCTGGTCCCCGAGACCTGGTGCTGTCTGAAGCAGGCAGTCAGTCCTTGAGAGTACAGTGGACCGCGGCCAGTGGCCCTGTGACTGGCTATAAGGTCCAGTACACTCCTCTGACAGGACTGGGACAGCCGCTGCCAAGCGAGCGGCGGGAGGTAAGGATGTCAGGGGTGGCAGGTGGAGGGCTGGGGATTTGGCTGGGCAAGGTAAAGTGACCTCTGACCCTGGGCAGGTGAGCGTCCCCGCTGGTGAGACCAGCACGCAGCTGCAGGGTCTCCGGCCACTGACCGAGTACCAGGTGACTGTGGTAGCCCTCTACGCCAATAGCATCGGGGAGGCCGTGAGCGGGACAGCCCGGACCAGTGAGCAATTCTGCTAACCTCTGACCCCGCCCACCTAACGCCCCAGTAACCCCCCCAGCCTGACTCCGCTAATCCCTGGTGCACCTTCCCCCAGCTGCCCTGGAGGGGCCGGAGCTGACCATCCAGAATACCACGACGCACAGCCTCTTGGTGGCTTGGCGGAGTGTGCCGGGTGCCACTGGCTACCGTGTGACGTGGCGGGCCCTCAGTGGTGAGTGAGGGGGATCCCTGCACCTCAGAGAGGATCGTAGGGTTCTGAGTCTGCAAGGCACACTGACCCCCACCCCCGTGCCCCCCGTGCAGGTGGTGTCACACAGCAGCAGGAGCTGGGCCCTGGGCAGGGGTCAGTGTTGCTGCGTGACCTGGAGCCTGGCACGGACTACGAGGTGACTGTGAGCAGCCTGCTCGGCCGGAGCATCGGGGCAGCCACCTCCCTGACTGCCCGAACTGGTGAGAAGGCCGGGGGCTTTCTTCGGGTGGGGTGGGCAGGCAGGCAGGTCACTGAGGCCACTGACGTCCCGTGTGCCCTGGGCAGACGCCTCTGTGGAACAGACCCTGCGCCCGGTCATCCTGGGCCCCACGTCCATTCTCATTTCCTGGAACTTGGTGCCTGAGGCCCGTGGCTACCGGCTGGAATGGCGGCGTGAGAGCGGTCAGTGCAGGGGAGAGGGGTGGGCAGGCAGGGTCGGGCTTGGCTTCAGCTGGCCTGACCCTGTCATCTGGCAGGCTTGGGGGCGCCACAGAGGGTGGTGCTGCCCTCTGATGTGACCCGCTACCAGTTGGATGGGCTGCAACCGGGCACTGAGTACCGCCTCACGCTCTACACGCTGCTGGAGGGCCGCGAGGTGGCCACACCTGCCACCGTGGTGCCCACTGGTAAGGGCTCTGTGGGCCTGGCCCTGCGATGGGGGAAGGGACGGGGCGGGGGGCCCGGGCAGCCTTTCATGCCGCGCTCTCCAACAGGGCCAGAGCTGCCCGTGGGCCCTGTGACGGACCTGCAGGCAACCGAGCTGCCTGGGCAGCGGGTGCGAGTGTCCTGGAGCCCAGTTCCCGGTGCCACTGAGTACCGCATCACTGTGCGCAGTACCCAGGGTGAGTACCACCACACCCACACACACATTAAAGGTCCAGCTCTTGGGGTCTGAATGCACCTTCACCCCATCTCTCTCCACTCCTGGGTTTCTTTTCTTTTCTTTTTTAAGATTTTATTTATTTATTTGAGAGAGAGAATGAGAGACAGAGAGCACGAGAGGGAAGAGGGTCAGAGGGAGAAGCAGACTCCCCGCCGAGCAGGGAGCCCGATGCGGGACTCGATCCTGGGACTCCAGGATCACGACCTGAGCCGAAGGCAGTCGCTTAACCAACTGAGCCACCCAGGCACCCACCACTCCTGGGTTTCTACAGCCTCCTCCTGTCTCCTTGTCCATCTATCCCCCGAGCTGGCAACTGAGTCCAGATCTGTCACAGAGGCTGTCTGCTCCTGGCCCTGCCTCAGCCCATCTTCTCACCCGGGTCTGTCTCCACTCACTGCCCCACATCCCTGGCTGCAGCTTTCGCCCTTCTCCACAAGTACAGGCTCAGTCCCTGCCCTTCGGTGACCCTAGCTGGAACCACTATCCACGCTGATCTCGCAGCCCCTGTCCCCACCCAATACTGGCCCCTGTCACCCCACGTCACTGTCTGTTGATGACCTGTCAATTCCTATCGCTGTCCACTGACTTCTGTCGTCCTACATTCCACATCCCTCTCCATGGACCCCTATCATCTTGGGTCTCCATTCATCACTGGTCCATTATCCTGTGTCACCGTCCGTCACTGACCACCATCATCCCACATCCCTATGTCTCACTGACCCCTGCCCACCTACCCTGCCTTCTCTCTTAGGGGTTGACCGGACCCTGGTGCTCCCTGGAAGTCAGACAGCCTTTGACTTGGACGATGTCCGGGCTGGGCTAAGCTACACTGTGCGGGTGTCTGCTCGAGTGGGCACCCGCGAGGGTGGCACCAGCATCCTCACGGTCCGCCGGGGTGAGCACTGCAGGAGGGCTGTGGGGGGACAGTTGCCTGGCTCACTCCGGTCCTGGTTGTGACCTCTGACCTCTATCCTTAACCCCCAGAACTGGAAACCCCACTTGCCATCCCAGGGCTGCGAGTCGTGGCAGCAGATGCAACACGAGTGAGGGTGGCCTGGGGACCTGTTCCTGGAGCCAGTGGATTTCGGATTAGCTGGAGGACAGACAGTGGTCGGTGTGGGGTGTATGGGAGGGTTGAGAAGAACAACTGGGGTATAGGGGATTGGGGGGGCAGGCAAGAGCCATGTCAACATTTCCCTCTGACCCTAGGACCAGAGTCCAGCCAGACATTGCCCCCAGAATCCACTGCCACAGATATCATGGGGCTACGGCCTGGAACCTCCTACCAAGTGGCCGTGTCAGCACTGCGAGGAAGAGAGGAGGGTCCCCCTGTGGTCATCGTGGCTCAAACTGGTCAGGGCCTGACCCAGCCCCTTGGCTATCTATCTCCAGTGCCCCTCTGGACCCCCGTGCCTCCCGTCTCAGACCCTTGCTTCGCCCCAGAACAGTCACAGTCTCCCTCTTCAATTCCCGCTGCCTTCTCCCTCAGAGTCCTGCTTTCCCCTTTGGCCTCCCTTGCCTCCTGTTAAGCCCCTACCTTCTTCAGATTCCTCTGCCTCTCCTCAAAGATCCCACTCTCTTTGCCCTCAGATTTCCACCACCTCATCTCTCAGGCTCCCGCTGCCTTTTCTGCTCCACCTGACTTTCCTCATACCTCTATCAGAACCCTATTATCTTCTCTGTCAGACCCTCTTCTCTCTCAGATTTCTATCACCTGCCTCCCTCAGACTGCAACTATCTCCTCTGTCAGAACCCCCGCTTCTTCCCCCATCTGGCCCATTCACTACCTCCCCCATCAGATCCCTGTCTCCTTCTAGACTCCCATAGCCTTCTATTAGATGGTCCTCCAATCCTCCCCCGTCAGACCCTCCACTACCTCCTCCATTAGACTCTCCATTGCCTCTCCCTGCAGACCCACTGGGCCCAGTGAGGACTATCCATGTGACGCAGACCAGCAGCTCATCTGTCATCATCGCCTGGAACAGGGTTCCTGGTGCCACAGGATACAGGATCTCCTGGCACTCAGGCCATGGTGGGGACCAGGGGTTTTGGAGGGAACCGGAGGTTTTGGAGGGTCGTGGGGGGCAGGTCTGGGTGGAATGGGGGCTGGGGGGTTATTAGGGGTCCAGGTGGGGCACTGCGGGACAGAATCCAGCTAGCCCTGGAGCTGCCTCCATTCCCCCTCCCAGGTCCAGAGAAATCCCAGTTGGTTTCCGGAGAGGCCACAGTGGCTGAGCTGGATGGGCTGGAGCCAGATACTGAGTACACGGTGCATGTGTGGGCGCATGTGGCTGGTGTGGATGGGACCCCTGCTTCTGTGGTTGTGAGGACAGGTGAGTGGACAATGGCCAGCTGGCAATCGCATCTCATTGGCTACCCCACCCCTCTTTGTATTCCTGACTGCTTCAGCTGCCCGCTCCATCACTGCTCAGCGACTTCTCCACATTGACTAAGTGTCCACCCTCAGCGACCTCCTGGCCGCTCCACACTGCCCACTCTGGGGCACTGACCTCCTCCCTCTCAGAGGTTGCCTGCACTGACCTGTCCATACTAACCTCACACTGACCTTCAGATGACCATGTTTGCACTGCCACCCTGTTCTCTACCAGCCATCCAGTGGCCCCTGACCCTTTACCCTGCCTCTGCCCCCAGACCCTGCGCCCGTGGGCAGTGTGTCGAAGCTGCAGATCCTCAATGCTTCCAGTGATGTTCTGCGGGTCACCTGGGTGGGGGTCACTGGAGCCACAGCCTACAGACTGGCCTGGGGCCGCAGCGAGGGTATGTTTCCCTGACCCGCCCTTGTCCCTCCTGGCTGGGATTGCCCTCTCTGGTGCGCCACCCCCACCCCGACTGTTGCCCCGTGTTTGCCTGCCCAGGTGGCCCCACGAGACAGCAGGTGCTCCCGGGAAACACGGACTCCGCAGAAATACGGGGCCTCGAAGGCGGTGTCAGCTACTCGGTGCGAGTGACTGCACTGGTCGGGGACCGTGAGGGCGCGCCGGTCTCCATTGTCGTCACTACGCGTAGGCGGAGCTCGGGCTGGGGCTAGCCTTGGATTGGTGGCTTGGAAGGTTTGGGGGCGGGTTTTGTGCACGGCAGGGTACGAGGGGGAAGGAGGGATGAAGCCTGGGATAGGCAGAGGAGTCAGTTGGGGCGGTGCGAGTTCCAGGGTTGGTCTGGGATTGGCTCAGGAGCCAGTGGGGGCGGAGCCTCCCTGAAGCCTGGGTTTTCTTTGCAGCGCCTGAGGCTCCGCCAGCACTGGAGACCCTTCGCGTCGTGCAGCGAGGGGAGCACTCGCTGAGGTTGCGCTGGCAGCCGGTGCCCGGGACACAGGGCTTCCGTCTGCGTTGGCGACCCGAGGGTGAGAGCTGTCCCCCGGTTGCGGGGGCGGGCTCAGGGACCAGCGGGGGCGGGGCTGGGGGCGGGGTTGGCTAGATAGGCGAGGTCAGTGAGTGGGCAGGGTCTGTCAGTTGTGGGGGTGGTTTGCTGGATCAGTGACAGTGTGCGGGATCAGTTATCCAGGTGGGATCAGTAAGGGTCAGTCGTGCAGGGTCAGTAAGGGAACAGGGTCAGCGAGAATGGGGAAGATCAATTAGGAGGGTGGATCTGGTCAGCAGGGTCAGTCAGTGAGGTAGGCAAGTTCATTAATGCTGGTCTGTAGCACCCTCCCACGTGTCTTGCGTCCCACTCTCATGCCTGCCGCAGGTGGCCAGGAACAGTCCCGGGTCCTGGGGCCCGATCTCAGCAGCTATGAACTGGATGGGCTAGAACCAGCCACCCTATACCGCATATGGCTGAGCGTTTTGGGGTCAGCTGGAGAAGGGCCCCCCACAGAAGTGACTGCACGCACTGGTGAGCCCAGAGAGTCCACTCTTCCCTGGTGTGAGCTTCCTCCCCACTGATGACCCACCCTGGTTTCCTGCACCCCATGACCCTTAGTGACTCCTCCTGTAGACCCCCTACCACTCTTGCCCCTGGGGTGACCCCAGCATGATCTCACATGACACTTCTTTCACTAAGATGGTCCTACCCCAGAACCGCCTCAGATGATCTCTCCCCTCTGGGTTCTCAGGATGTAGACTCTGATCCCTGGTGTTTGATTCCTTCTTCAGAGTCACCCCGTGTCCCAAGCACTGAACTGCGTGTGGTGGACACTTCAATTGACTCAGTGACTCTGGCCTGGACTCCCGTGTCTGGAGTATCCAGCTACATCCTGTCCTGGCGACCACTCAGACGGCCTGGCCAAGGTGAAGGGGAGGCCAGGGTTGGGGTGGGCTGGCAGTTGGGGCTCCATGGAAGGCCTCCCGTTTAACCAGGTTTTATCCTCTGCAGACATTCCTGGGGCCTCACAGACACTTCCAGGGATCTCGAGCTCCCAGCAGGTGACAGGGCTAGAGCCTGGCATCTCCTACACCTTCTCGCTGATACCCATCCGGGAGGGTGTACGGGGTCCTGAGGCCTCTGTCACACACATCCCAGGTATGATGGGCACAGTGGGAGGGGCCTAAGGGGGTAGCTACATGGGCCAGCTGCTTCAATAACTCAGCCGCCTTCCTGCAGTGTGTCCCCATGGCCTGATGGATGTGGTGTTCCTGCTGCACACCACTCAGGACAATGCTCATCGTGCGGAGGCTGTAAAGCGAGCCCTGGAGCGTCTGGTGTCTGCACTTGGGCCTCTTGGGCCACAGGCGGTCCAGGTTTGACCCCAGAGGCAGCCAGACCCCTTCCTATCCCAGCCCTTCCCTGTCCCAGGCTTCACAGCAGCTACCATTTCCCTCCTCTACCAGTGGTCCAGGCTGTCTCCCAACCCTCCCCAGACTCCAGATCTCCCCATCTGCTGCTTGGCTCCCTATCCTACCATCACTGCTGACTCCCTAGTGTTCAGGTTTAGTCCCACACCCTTAGCTCCATATCTCTCCCCATAGGCTCTGTCATCCTTGCTTTGCCATCCTCCCCAGCTCTGTGTCTGCCCCCACCCCCACCCCAGGTTGGCCTCCTGTCCTACAGTCATCGGCCCTCCCCACTGTTCCCGCTGGATAGCTCCTACGATCCTGGGGTCATCCTGCAGAAGATCCGCAGCATCCCCTACGTGGACCCAAGTGGGAACAACCTGGGTAAGGAACTGCATTGGACATGCACTCTTGGGGCTTCCCTGCAGGGAACTGGTTGCCCCTGGGTTCTGACATGTTTTTTCTCCCACAGGCACCGCTGTGGTTACTGCTCACAGACACCTGTTAGCACTGGATGCTCCCGGGCGCCGCCAGCATGTACCAGGGATAATGGTTTTGCTAGTAGATGAGCCCTTGAGAGGTGACATCTTCAGCCCTATCCGTGAGGCCCAGGCTGCTGGTGAGGAGAAGGGCTGGTGCGGATGGGGCCTGGGAATCGGGCTGGCTCCAGCAGGGTTGTCATGCAGACTGCCGGACCCCTCCTTAGGGCTCAAAGTGATGATATTGGGCCAGGCCGGAGCTGACCCAGAACAGTTGCGTCGCTTGGTGCCAGGCATGGACCCTGTCCAGACTTTCTTTGCTGTGGATGATGGTCCAAGCTTAGAGCGGGCAGTCAGTGGTTTGGCAACATCCCTGTGCCAGATAGGCTCGGCCACCCAGGTTTGCAAGGGGTCTCTAGGGGAGGGGTAGCTGGCAGGGGAGAGGGGGTCTGGGGACTCTTGGTGGAAGAGCCTGGCCTCAAGGAGACCTTACGTCCACAGCCACAGCCAGAGCCTTGCACGGTGCATTGTCCAAAGGTAAATGTCCAGGGTTGAGAGGGTGGGCGAGGGCCACACCTGGCGCTGGCCACTCTGACCCTCATTCGACGTATCTTTCCCCAGGGCCAGAAGGGGGAACCTGGAGAGATGGTGAGTGGTCCTAGTTGGCGGCAGAGAATGGTTGGGGGTCAGTGGGGCTGGGGGGCGCTGGTGGGACAGGGCTCACTGATCACCTTTCCTAGGGCCTGAGAGGACAAGCCGGGCCTCCTGGCCCCCCTGGCCTTCCGGTGAGTGCCTCCCCACACCTGTCCTCTGCTCCTGGACTGGTGCATGGCCTCCTCACCTGCTTTTCTCCTCTCAGGGCAGGATTGGTGTTCCTGGCCCCCAGGGGCCCCCAGGAAGTACCGTTGCCAAGGGCGAAAGGGTGAGTGGAGACCATTGAGCTTCCCCTAAGACACTCCTGCAAGTGTCCCCAGGGTTTTTAGAAGACAGAAGGAAAGAATAGGGGCAGAACCACAGGGTATTCCCAGAAGCCTAAATGGACATTATAAACCACATCAGTGACTTTGGGAAAGGACCTAAAGCAGAGCAGCCAGGGGAGTTTTGAGATTCCGCCAGAGAACCTAGGAGTAAGTTCTGAATCCCAGAGGCAGAGAAGGGCCTCTGCCTCATCACTGCCCTTGTGCCCGGGTTGAGGCCCCGTTTAGCTCAGAAGGGCTCCTTCTCTGCCCCACTGCCCCACCCCAGCGACACTCGGGGGCCTGTGGGGTCTGGGCTCCTCCAGCAAACCAGGGGCATGGAGGGAGGGTCCCTTCCTGCCCTGACCTCTTTGCCTCGTTAGGGCTTCCCCGGGGCAGATGGGCCTCCAGGCAGCCCTGGCCGCCCTGGGACTCCTGGAAGCCCTGGCTCAAAGGTAAGCAAGCCTTGCCCTTGCAGGTCACACGCTGGGACTCTTTGCTTGCGTGGGTGGGTGGGTGGTCTGACTGTCCTGACGGCTTCCATTAACAGGGCTCCCCAGGGTGGCCTGGTCCTCGTGGAGAAACAGTAAGTTGCTTTCCCTTCTTTGCTCATCCAGTGTCTTCCCAGAGTTCTTTCTGCGGGGCGGGGGCCTGCTGGGGTGGGGCAGCAAAGATGCACTTGTGCCCAAGCATGACCCTTTGCTCCATTTTGCCCTCAGGGAGAGCGAGGACCTCGAGGCCCAAAGGGGGAGCCGGTAGGTGCAGGGGGAAGGGAGGGAACCAGGATGGCCCAGGGAGGAGCAGGCTGGACACTGTGCAGGGCCTATGGCATGATAAGGAATAGCTGAGGCCCCTCTAGGGGCTTCTCCCACCTCAAGGCTCCCATACCCTGAATCCTGTCCACTGCTTTCTGTCCTGTAGGGAGAGCCTGGACGAGTCATTGGAGGCGAGGGCCCGGGGCTTCCTGGGCAGAAAGGGGACCCTGGACCTCCTGTAAGTTCCAGAACATGTGGGGGCAAGTGATGTGTGGTGGGGGGCCAGCGGGAGGCAGGGTGGGAGTAGGGGTCTGTGGGGTATACTTTATACTTTGTCTCTTCCATCAGGGCCTCCCTGGATCCCGTGGCCCACTGGGGGACCCAGGACCCCGTGGTCCCCCAGGACTTCCTGGAACGGCCGTGAAGGTGACAACATGACCCCCATATGGTCTCATGACCTCCATGTGATCCAGTGACCTAGTGACCCCATTTGAACCCACACAACCCGTACTGGTTGCTCTGACCCCATGTGACCCCTCAGCCCCCCATGGCTCCTCAGTTCCTCCATGACCTTTGTAATCCAGTTTGTCCCCCTGACCTTCATTTTTCCCATATATTGGGGAGTGGAGGTGTAGTCCAGGGTCATGGGGCCATGATCTGTCTTTCAGGGTGACAAAGGTGATCGTGGGGAGCGGGTAAGTGAGGGACAAGGTATCCTGGGGGTGGCTTGGAATTTGATTCCCCTTGGTCATCTCCTCACTGCTGTTCTTTCTCAGGGCCCTCCAGGACCGGGTGATGACGGCACTGTTCCAGGGGAGCCTGGGCTGCCGGTGAGGGAGCCCTGAGGCTTTGCTGGGGAACTTGGGGCCATGCTCAGGGGTGTGGATACTGGGGCTGGGGCTCTGCTGGGGCAGTGGGTGGGTGCTGGGCCTCACAGTTTGGGGCTCATGTTTTTACATACTTTCCCCTAGGGTCTTCCTGGAAGCCCCGGACCCCAAGGCCCAGTTGGCCCCTCTGGAGAGAAAGGAGAAAAGGTAGGAAGCCTGACCCCTTGGTGTCCCAGTTCTGGGGCGGGGGTGGGGGTGGGGGTGGGTTGGGGGCAGGGTCTTCTACTCATCTATTTCTCCTTCAGGGTGACAGTGAGGATGGAGCCCCAGGCCTCCCAGGACAACCTGGGAGCCCGGGTGAGCGGGTGAGTGTAGGGGCAAGGGTTTTGAGGGGCGGCCACAGCTCCCTCAACCTCCTACCCTCTACGCTATCCTTATGCCCAAACCCAAATCTCTGAACCCTTTCTAGGGCTTTCGAGGACCTCCTGGAGACATTGGCCCCAAAGTAAGCACCATTTTGGGGGGTCAGGTGTGGGGTGTGACACACTGGGACTGCTATAGGTTTGGGGGAGGTGGGCGGATCAGGAGATGAGGGTTCTCAACAGGTCAGAGGTTGTGGTTTCAGGGGCAGGATGGCTAGAGTTTGAGACACCTTCTCTGCGGTTTGACAGTCAAGGCACCTCTCCTATCCGTCTCCCCTTAGGGTGACAGAGGACTGAAAGGGGCTGTGGGTGAAACTGGAGAGAAGGTAAGTGCAGCCGAGGGGTCTCTTGGGGCCCCAGAGGGTCTGGGGCTGGACTCAGCTCTGACCCATCCTGTTCCATCAGGGTGAACGTGGATCCCCTGGCCCAGTGGGACCCCAGGTGAGCCCTCTGACCCCAGTGCCAGTGCCCAGCTGACTCGAGTTCTGTGCCCCTTCCTGGTTTTGACTTCTCAACCTTGACTCCCCCTGCCCCTCACCTCTCCTCACATAACTCCTGCTGATGCGGGCTCTAACCCTCAACCCCTGGGACCCGCTTTTAACTTCCTGACCCTGCTGAACTGACCTTGACTTCCACTGATCTGGTCTCCGTCGTCCCGCTGAGTTCGACCCCTGCCACCTGAATCCTGACCTTTCGTGCCCTCTCTCCTGCACCCTCACAGCCTCTAGCCCTTGTTTGCCATGATCTCCCTGCCCCCACCCTCCCAGACCAGCATGTCTGCTCTTCTTCCCCAGGGGCTGCCTGGAGTGGCTGGGCGTCCTGGAGCTGAGGGGCCCGAAGTGAGTCTGTGACTGTGGTGGGACCGGGAGAGGGCTTTTCATGTGTTCCTCCCACTCTGGCTTCACACCTTTTCCACATGCAGGGACCACCAGGACCTGCCGGCCGCCGAGGAGAGAAGGTGGGTCATTGCCTGGGGACCAGTCCCCTCCCCACTGCACCCCATACTAGGAGGGATCGTGGCAGGTGGGACACCAGGCCCTTGGGTTCCTAGGTGGGTCTCTGACCAATCCCTGCCTCTGTCCTTTTTCCACAGGGGGAGCCTGGTCGCCCTGGGGACCCCGCAGTGGTGAGCAAAGGAAGGATGGCCTGCACTGGCCTGCCTGTAGACCAGCGTTCCAGGCTGGGACCTCGTAACCTTGGGGCCCTGAGCAGGCTAAGAGTTCTGTGACTCTCCTTATGCTATAACACATCTCCTGAGTCCTGGCTGTCACCTGTGACCCTGTGATGTCACACAGGTCATGAGCTCCATGTAACCCCTGCCCGGTTCCCAGCCGTGACTCTGTGATCTCTGGACAGAGACTGAGCTCCATGACTTGCAGTTTGATATTACCCCATCCCCAGTCAGCCACATAGTACTGCGGTGCCCAGGTGGGGCCAAGCATGTCTATCCTGTTTGTTTTCAGGGACCTGACGGTGTTGGGGCCAAAGGAGAGAAGGTAATTCTGGCGAGAGTGAAAGGAGGCTGACGCAGGGTTGAGGTCAAGGTCACAGGGCCTGCTTGGAGGCCCCTGGGGGTAGAGAGTTCTGCATAATTGCTAGGTCAGGGTGGTGGCAGGGGGTGGTTCATGGAACCTGGGGCTGATGCTGATGGTTGATGGTCTTTGTCACCTCCAGGGAGATGTGGGGCCCACTGGGCCCAGAGGAGCTGCAGGAATCAAAGGGGAGCAGGTGAGTGAAGGGAAAGTGTCTAGGGGGTAGGGCAGGTGAGGGTTGTGCTCCCTGACGTCTGATTCTTCCACCACAGGGCCCACCTGGCTTGGTTCTTCCCGGAGACCCTGGCCCCAAGGGAGACCCTGGAGACCGGGTGAATAAATGTGGGATTGGGGAGTGTGATAGAAGGAGATGAGGTAGTACCTGGGAGCCCCAACTAAGTCCTGTACCCCCTTCCCACGCCCTGCAGGGTCCCATTGGCCTCACCGGCAGAGCAGGACCCCCGGTGAGTACCTGTGACCTTGAGTAACCTCGAGGTTTCTGGGATTACCACCCCCCAAGTGTGGGCCAATTGCATCCTGATCACCTCACTTCTGCCTCCTCCACAGGGTGACTCAGGGCCTCTTGGAGAGAAGGGAGACCCTGGGCGGCCTGGCACCCCAGGACCTGTCGGCCCCCGAGGACGAGAAGTAAGAAAGCTGGAGTTGGGGGGAGTCCTGGGGGACAGGGGAGTAGGGTGTTGTTGGCACCATGGGGCATCTGGGGCCCAGGGCTGACTCTCCTGTCTCACAGGGTGAAGTTGGAGAGAAAGGAGACATGGGCCCCCCGGTGAGACTCCTTCCCAGTGTGATTTCTGAGCCTCTACTCTTGAACTGGGATCCCTCTGGGCTGGGGGCTCCACCAGGTCATCCAGTCCCTTCCCCTGCCTACTGTCCAGCTGGTGCCAGGCCCTTCTCTGCCCCTTCTCCCCGAGTCAAAGTTTGAGTCCAGCCTACCTGCTCAGTGTGGCTTTCTCTCCATCACCAGGGTGACCCAGGTTTGCCTGGGAAAGCTGGTGAGCGTGGCCTTCGGGTAAGCCTGGCAGGGCGAAGTAAGGGGATGCTGGAGAGTCTGGAGGGAGGCCTGGTGTGATGGAAAACTCTGGCATGGTTTGGGGGTGATGAGGAACCTGGGGCAGCATGGGGGGGCTCATGGGAAACCTGCAAAATGCTGGGAGGAGCCTGTCTCAGGCCAGCTGCTCTTCCCAGGGGGCACCTGGAGCTCGGGGGCCTGTGGGTGAGAAGGGGGACCAAGGAGATCCTGGAGAGGATGGACGAAACGTGAGTCCTAACCCCTGACCCCTAACCCCAACTTCAACCAGCCAGTTCCCAGCCCCTGCTCTTGCTGCCCCAACCCTGCAATGCTCAATCCTCACAGTCCCCTGTGACCCCTTCATCGCAACCTCCAGAGGCCACCAGGATCCCCGTGAGTCCTTAGTTTGCTTCCCAAACTCCCTGAAACTGCCGCCTGTCTTGAGTGACCCTGACCCCCTGACTTTCTGCAGGGCAGCCCTGGACCATCTGGACCCAAGGGGGACCGTGGGGAGCCGGTGAGTACTGCCAGTGTCCTGGGCTCTGGAGGGATGGAGATTTCCAGTGTTTGGTCTCGTTGGTGGCCACATAAGGGGCTTGGAGGTCAAGGTGGGGAGCCACTGATGGCCACCTCCGGGCCTGACCTGCCTTCTGGGGTTTGGCATTGGGGTGCTTCTGGGAGTCTGGGAGCAGAGTTGGGCCTGGGGCAAACCTGAGCCACGCCCTGGGACCTCGGGGCTCTTACTGACCATAATCATTTCCTTTCCCAGGGTCCCCCAGGACTCCCTGGACGGCTGGTAAGGGTTGAGCTGAGTCTGGTCCTCTGTCATCTCTCTCGCCTGCCCCTGTTGGTGCTGCATGGTGTCCCTTCATCCGTTCCACTGGCTCCCATTTCCCCCATGGCCTCCTGATAGCTCCATTGATCCCATAGCCCCTCACTGGCCCCACTTCTCCTTGCGGAGCCATTCACTGACCATTCCCTTCCCTCCCCCCAGGTAGACCCGGGACTTGGAGCTGGAGAGAAGGTACCAGGGTCTGTGGGTGGAGCAGGACTCGGAGCACAGGAAGCATCCCAAGTGCCTCCATGACGGGCATGCCTGTGGCCCTCGGGCTGTTCCTTCAACGAGCTTGTCTCTGCCACAGGGAGAGCCTGGGGACCGTGGGCAGGAGGGTCCTCGAGGACCCAAGGGTGACCCGGGTCCCCCAGGAGCCTCTGGTGAGAGGGTAAGTGTGGTTGGTCCCCTGAGGAGGTGTGGGTCTGGGAAGGCCTGCTCTGATTTCTTCCTCCCCCCATCCTCAGGGTGTCAGTGGACTTCAGGGGCCCCCAGGCCCTCAGGTGAGTGATACTCTTTGCCCCAGCAGCCTCAGTCCCTCTCCTACCCTCACCTTTTATCTGACCTTATTCTCTCCAGGGGGACCCAGGTGTCCGAGGCCCAGCAGGAGAGAAGGTGAGAGGGCAGGGAGGTTTTTCAGCCGTGAACCAGGCTCTTAGGTCCATCTTATCCTTTGAGGCCTCTTACCTCTCTGTTTTCCTCAGGGTGACCGGGGTCCACCCGGCCTGGATGGCCGTGGTGGGCTAGATGGGAAACCGGGAGCCCCTGGCCCCCCTGGGCCGCACGTGAGTCTTGATGGGCCCTGTGTGGTCACGCCCTCCCCTTCCCTCTTCACATGACCCCAGCCTCACCTGGGTCTTCGTGGTCTTGATGAGCCCCGGAGCCAGATGGGGTGTTTGTGTCTTCTCCCAGAACCCGCCCGGGCGGGGGGCGTTAGCGCCTGGCAGGCCCTGAGCTCGCGGGAACCAGTGGTCTTGTCAGCGGGGCGTGCTCCTGACCCCATGATCACTGCAGCCTCCCTGACTCTGAGTCTCTCCTCAGGGTGCTACAGGCAAAGCTGGAGACCCAGGGAGAGACGTAAGTGAGGGGAGATGTTAGGCTCAGGGTGGCTCAGGGGTCCAGCATGAACTGCAGCCAGGTCGTCACACCACGGCATCAGTGGGAACAGGGGGAGTTGGTCCAGCCCGGGGCTTGGGACGCTCTCAGTCCCTGGCAGGCAGGCTTTAGCAGGGTCCAGCTTTCTGACCTTCTCTGCCTTGGGGGCCTTAGTAGGTCCCCCAAGTCCTGGAGGTTCTTCCCTGGGGAGTTTTAGCAGGGGACCTCAATGAAACCTCCAAATTTTAGGGGTCTCTACCCTCAAGGAGGATCTTAGTGGGGTCCTCTCCAGTCCACAGGTGTGCTTCGGGGGCTCTCTCAGGGGCTCTCTCAATCCTAGCAAAGACTTTTTGCAGGGGCTTCCGGGCCTCCGAGGAGAACATGGCCCCCCTGGCCCGCCTGGCCCCCCTGGAGCCCAGGTGAGACTGAGCTTTCATGGTACCCTTTTTTTTTTTTTTTAAGTTTATTTACTTACTTATTTAAGTAATCTAAGTAATCTCTACACCCAACGTGGGGCTCGAACGCATGATCCTGAGTTCAAGAGTCGCACACTCTACCAACTGAGCCAGCCAGGCAGGCGCCCCTCACGGCACCCTTTTGCCGCCTTACTGCCCTCACCTGGGCCCTGACTCCTGATCAATGATCTCTTCCCACAGGGAAGGCCGGGAGACGATGGGAAGCCTGGCCTGAATGGGAAAAACGTGAGTGTCCAGAGCAGACACAGGGACACGTGCTGAGAAATGCAGGCACGTGCACACAGCCCAGATGTGCAGATACACACGGGCCACACACGCAGACCCCTGCTGGGCTGTATCCACACCCACGTACCTAGCCCGGACCTACACACACGTCCACGTGCACACGCACGCAGCCTCGCAGACCATGCGCCGTGCAGCCGCGCTGCCCGGTGCCCAGATGGACTGACAGCTGCCGAGATCATGCACAGCCAAGGGCGCGGGCGGAGAGCCACAGACACAGATGGAGAGGTGCAGCCGTACTGATGTGAGGCCCCATTCAGGGAAACTTGGAGACATGTTGACACGCAGATACCTCCACCCAGCCCAGACACGTGCTAAGACGCATGTGGAAGCCGGGCCACAGGTGGACTTGTGTTGAAGTATGGTGAGACACATGTCCAAGGCTCTGGCGTGTGATACATGCAGTTATGTCCACAGTCATTCATACACAGAGGGCCACACATATTGAGATGATACATGCAAGACTTGCAGGTGGATCCTGAGACATACAGATGATTCTCAAGGTACCAGGGGCACACACACTCACGTCCATCCTGTGTATACATGTATGTGGCCATACGTAGATGTGGTTGAAGATGTGCAGACAGACTGAGACAGTCTGTGAATCTTGGGGCTGACGTGAATCTTCTGCCCACAGGGAGAACCCGGGGACCCTGGAGAAGATGGAAGGAAGGTAAGGCCCCTCACTTGGAGTCTGCTCCGGCCTCAGATTAGGGCCCTGTCTAAAGTGCCCTTGTCTTCCTTAGGGAGAGAAGGGAGATTCGGGCGCCCCTGGGAGAGAAGTAAGTGCTGGAGTCCTCTGCAATCTGACCCCTGACCCCGACTCTGCGGGATACGGCTCCACTCTTTTCCGGGGTCTCAGGGTCCTGATCCTGGCTGCATCCTCCACAGGGTCACGATGGTCCCAAGGGTGAGCGTGGAGCTCCTGGTAGCCCTGGACTCCAGGGCCCCCCAGGCCTCCCGGGGCAGGTGGGCCCCTCTGGCCAGGTGAGTATCCAGGAGGGGAGTTCTAGGACTTGGGAGCAACAGGGGCCATTATGTTTCTGGGGTGCCATGATTCTGTGTGACTGCTTTGTGTTCTGTCCTATCTCAGGGTTTTCCTGGGGTTCCGGGAAACACAGGCCCCAAGGTGAGTGTGCACATGGTGGGTCGGGGGTGTGGTGAGGGTTGAGCAGGGTTGGGGCATTTCTCCCACCTGATCATTCTTTGTTCTCAGGGTGATCGTGGGGAGACTGGACCCAAAGGGGAACAGGTGAGGTCCCCACCTTTTTCATGTGCCCAGGTGGCCGTAGCTCCCACCTCCGCACACACACTCCCCCCAGAAACTGGACCCAGCAGCTTGTCTCTTGGTGTCTCCAGGGCCTCCCTGGAGAGCGCGGCCTGAGAGGAGATCCTGGGAGCGTTGGGGTGAGTGAAGCTCAGGACCCGGTCCTTGACTCTCATCCACAGGCCTGAGGGAGCCACCTCTTTCCCCTCCCCTTGCCATGAAGCCGCACGGGTTCTGTCCCATGTGCTCAAGTCCCCTGCCCTGCTGGGATTCCCACAGCTGGCATTCGGGGAGCCGGGCAATGGGGACACACCAGGGAGGGGCTTCCAGGGCCTCAGGCCTCCTCAACCAGTGCTAAAGGGTCCTGTGGGCCAGAGGCCTGGGGAAGAGGGTATGGAGGCTTCTCTGAGGGCCGCCCCTCACCCCAGCTTTTGTCCCCAGAATGTGGAGCGGTTGCTGGAAACTATTGGCATCAAGGTAGGTTGTTTGGGGGCTGGGAGTGGGAGCAGATGGGAGCCCCGTGGGGCTAGTGGTGCCCACATGGCCGGGTGGGGGCCTGGGTGGCTGCAGGGACAGGCTCTGGTTCCCCAACCCCTCTCTATCGCTCAGACGTCCGCCCTGCGGGAGATCGTGGAGACCTGGGATGAGAGTTCCGGCAGCTTCCTGCCCATGCCCGACCGGCGCCGTGGCCCTAAGGGGGAGCCAGGCGAGCGGGGCCCCCCGGGCAAGGAGGTGTGTGTCTGCGGCTCGGTGGGGGCGCCCTGGGGACAGCATCATTGTGCAGCTAGCCACATTCACTCTTCTGTTCCTCCAGGGCCCCATCGGCTTTTCTGGAGAACGCGGGCTGAAGGGAGATCGTGGAGACCCTGGCCCTCAGGGGCCACCAGGCCTGGCCCTGGGAGAGAGGGGGCCCCCTGGACCTCCTGGCCTTGCTGGGGAGCCTGGAAAGCCTGGCATTCCTGGGCTCCCAGGCCGGGCTGGGGGTACGGGGGAGGCAGGAAGGCCAGGAGAGAGGGTGAGCGGGGCTAGCCAGGAGGGCTGGGGTTGCGGGCCCAGGAGGAGCTGGACCCCCTGGACATGGCCCCCATCCTGCTATTTGCATCTCAGGGAGAACGGGGAGAGAAAGGAGAACGCGGAGAACAGGTGAGCTGGGGTGGGGGGTAGTCCTTCTGGGGTGGGACTGCCTGGGTGCTGTGCTGGGGCAGCCCTGCCATTTCCTTCATCTCTGCAGGGAAGAGACGGCCCTCCTGGCCTCCCTGGACCTCCCGGACCCCCCGGTCGCAAGGTGATCAGCGCAGCCCTGCCCCAGGCCTGTGACTCTTGATACTAGGAGGCCACCATTAACTCAGGCCCCAGAAACTCTGTGTGGTGTCTCTGACCCAAACTCCTGTGGGATCTTGTGAGTGAGGAGGACCCCTCCGTGTCTCTGTGACAGACACCTCTCTCCCCTGTGACCTTGTATGTGTAGGTGGCTGTGGAAGAGCCAGATCCTGGCCTCTCTGGAGTGCAAGGACCCCCTGGATTCAAGGGCGCAAAGGTCAGTGTGTGGGATCAGTTAGGGGGCCACCTCCTGCCCTGGCACCAGGGCCCGGCGTGACATGTCATCCCTACAGGGGGAGCCAGGCAGTGACGGCGACCAAGGCCCCAAGGGAGACAGGGTGAGGCCCCCCCCACTCCCTGCACCGTGCTTCCCCCTCCTTTATGGGAGCCCATGAGGGATGGTTGTACATGGGCACATGGCAGTGACTGGGGGCTCAGGGCATGCCCTTCTGCTTGCAGGGTGTGCCAGGCCTCAAGGGAGACCGGGGAGAGCCCGGACAGAGGGGTCTCGACGGCAGCCCGGTGAGTCTGCACCACAATGCGCACCCCCGCCTCCCAGCCCCGGGCTCTTACAGTGTGGTCTGGACTGGAGTCTGCACTGCCTGGGAGTGTCTCGGGGAGGGACAGCATGGCCTTAAATCTGTTCTCTCCAGGGCCTACCAGGAGAGCGTGGTGTGGCTGGACCCGAAGGGAAGCCGGTAGGTGGTGGCAGGCACGGTGTGGCCCGGGCTCCCGGGGACAGCCGCTCTCTGCCGTGTGCGGGCTGCTCTGGTGACAGGGGTGTTGTGCCTGAGAGCCCAGCTGTGAGTGCAGATGCCCGATCTGTGTGCATGTGCGTGTGCGCGCCTATAGGCCAGGATGTATTATCCCTGAGGGGCGGGCCCTGGCTGCGGGGTGATCTATGCCTGGGCGGTGGGGGGGAGCGGGGCGGCCTACAAGTGGGCTCCCTAGACAAAGGCCTCCAGAGGGTGGGAACAGGCCCAAGTGAGGCCCAGATTGAGGCTCAGCAGCCCCCTTCTCTATCCAGGGTTTGCAAGGTCCGAGGGGGACCCCTGGCCCAGTGGTGAGTATCCTAGAATCATCCCCCGCTCCTGCCCCCATCCAACCCCATCCTACGGGGGGCAGTCCTCCCTGAGTTTCCCTGGGGGGGTGGCACTGGCTCCCCCTCATCAGACTCTTTCTCTCTCCAACAGGGTGGCCATGGAGACCCTGGGCCACCCGGTGCCCCGGTGAGTCACGGGAGCTTACAGTCTGGTGGGGGTGGGCTGGGCATTGATCCCCACTAAGGAGCCAAGCCTTGTTTGCATGAATCCCCGAGCCTGGGCTGAAAACTCTGACCCCTGTCCCCTGCTCTTATTACTTTTTTCTAGGGTCTTGCTGGCCCCGCAGGACCCCAGGGTCCTTCTGGCCTGAAGGTGAGTATGGGTGTGTGCGGGTGTGTGGCTGAAAGGAAGAGGAGTCTCATTGGAGCCAGGTCCACACCAGGGTAACATCTGCCAACACCCTGGGATGCCGTCACCCTGCATTGGGGCTGAGCACCCCAGTGTCTCATCCCTGGGGCCTTTGCTTATGGACAGGGGCTGAGGAGCCTCTTGTCCTACTGTGGGTGATGCAGTCTCTGGGTTTTCCGCAGGGGGAGCCTGGAGAGACAGGACCACCGGGACGGGTGAGTGGCCCAGCTCATGAGTGAGAGCCACAGGGAGCCAGGTGCGGTTGGCCCTGCCCTGAACTCTCTCTTCTCCCAGGGTCTGCCTGGACCCACTGGAGCTGTGGGACTTCCCGGCCCTCCTGGCCCTTCAGGCTTGGTGGTGAGTGAGGTCCCTGCAGGGACACCTTGTCCTGCCCTCTGGGTCCCATGTTGTCCCATGTTGCCCTCATACCTGACTTGTCTCCCTCAGGGTCCTCAGGGGGCGCCAGGTTTGCCTGGACAAGTGGTGAGTCCTGGGGATCGAGGCTGGGCTCCAGGAGTCAGGAGTCCATGGGCAGGCCCTTAACAGAGCCCCTGCCTCTCAGGGGGAGACGGGAAAGCCGGGAGCCCCAGGTCGTGATGGTGCTGGTGGAAAAGATGGAGACAGAGGAGCTCCTGGTGTGCCGGTGTGTGTTTGGGGGCAGCTTGCTTCGGGCCTGGGACGGGGCCTGGTCCTGTGCCCGGAGGGTGAGGGGAGCAGGGCAGCAGGGCCGGGGCGGTGGGCAGGCTCTGAGTTCTTCACACTGCTCTGTCGCAGGGGTCACCAGGTGTGCCCGGCCCTGTTGGACCTAAAGGAGAGCCTGGACCCATGGGGGCTCCTGGACAGGTGATCCTGACCTGACCCCGACCCTCCGTGCCTCACCGTGTCTAGTGCCGGCCTCCCATCCGGGATGGCGGGGTGGGGCTGGGGAGAAGGCAGGAGGTGAGGTAGCTCACTGGGCATTCCCCACAGGCTGTGGTCGGGCCCCCTGGAGCAAAGGGAGAGAAGGTGAGTGCTGGAGGCCTGGGGGGAGGGGCCAAGTGCTGGAGGCCAAGGCATCCCACTGACCCTTGTCCCACATCAGGGAGCGCCTGGAGGCCTCGTGGGAGACCTGCTGGGAGAGCCGGTGAGTGTGGAGCCTCCGACAGC